TTAGCTCTGTACATTCATACTCTGAATCTTTTACGCAATGTCTACGTCCTCGTGAAGCATTGCTCTTCTCCCAGGGTTGTTCTCCTGCGGTGCGTGTGGCAGATTATGTAGGTGTGTAGTCATTGGGCTTCAGCTCTCTCATTAAGGTTAAACCAGCAGCACCGCTGCTCTGCACCACAACACTCGGCAGATGGTTGCCAGGATACCAAGGAAACTGACATTTCAGAGCTTCTCCTGTCATATGGGAACAATGTTCATCTGTAGTGCATTATAATTTAAGCGATGATGAGGCCTTATACTCATGTAGAGCCACCTGCTGTATTCATATTTCACCTGTGTGACCATGAACCCAGGTCTCATTTTAGGTTTAGTCATTGGTAATCTTACAAGGTTAAAGCAGTTTGTAAGTGTGTCAAGGGTTTTCCAGGTTAATATACTTTTTCCTTCTCCAACGTAATGAGTTGAGAGACATTATTAAAATGCTCAGTACCAATAAGCCTGTAATTATTTTCAGGTTATGGCAGTATAAAAAATTTGTAGTTAAAGCAAATGCAATAGTTTTTCAATATTACATGTTAAGTGAATTAAAAACTCATGTTTTTAGAATTAAAAATCTTGCATTATAATGTTAGTATGAAATATGTGAACATTTATTTTTAGATAAATAGTAATAGTTATATATTTCTCTATAATACAGATGGGATGTTTATTTTTGGCAGGTACTCTTGGAAGTCGCACACAAACCGAAGTAGCGACAGATCTTTTCTTGTTGTGATGTGACATATATCTGAGTGTAACTGGTTATCAAAAAAATGTAGGAAAGGGACTTACTTCAAAAATGAAGCTTTCAGTTGATTGTAATTTTAGAAAACAGAATTACATTTTCATTTAATGTCAATGTATGTAATGATTATCTGAAAGTCTAAAATCTAAAAATAGAGACAAATGAGTGCCTACATTTAAATATCCAATATCAACCAATGGGAGCTAATTTGATCAATATTACTGCAATTCCCTGCAGTAATTTAATCTGATGTTTAGGGTTGGATATCGAGAACTGGTTCCATTTTAGAACCGGTTCCAAATTTCCAAT